ATTTTAAAATCCCTGGTCTTTGAACCGATACCAGTATGTGAATCTTATTTAGAGGGTAAAATGACTAAGCAGTCTTTCAAGGCCAAAGAAAATCGTGCTACACTTCAGCTGGAATTGGTACATACTGATGTATGTGAACCAATAAATGTCCAGGCCAGAGGCGAGTATGAGTATTTCATCATATTCACTAATGATTACTCAAGATTTGGACATATGTACCTGATGTATCCCAAGTCTGAAGCTTTTGGAAAATTCCAATAGTTTAAGGCTGAGGTAGAAAAGCATCTTGGTGTTCAAATCAAGACTCTTCAGTCTAACCGAGATGGTGAATACCTATCTGGAGAGTTTAGGTCTTTCCTGACCAAGAAGGGATAGTTTCAAAATTATCTTCTCCAGGGACACCCTAGCATAATGAAGTTGGTAAAAGGAGAAATTAAACCCTTTTAGAAATGGCAAGATGTTCAACAAGTTAAACATGTAGAAATGCAAATACCACTTGTAGAAGAAAAAAATCAAGAATTGGTTAACCCATCTAATGGGGGTCCTCAAGAAATTGTTGATCCGTCAAACTTGGATCCTCCTATAGATGCACAACATCAAGTGCGACAAAGTCATAGTGGGAGATTGATTTGTAAACCCGCAAGATATCTCTTGTTGGGTTAATCATATCATGATGACACCATTGAAAGAGATGATGATCCCACGTGTTATGACGAGGCACTGGAAGATGTTGATGCTCAAGAATAGCAGTGGGCTATGAAACGTGAAATGGAATCTATTTATTCCAACTCAGTTTGGTCTCTTGTAGAAGAACCTAAACCCATTGGGTGTAAATGGATCTACAAGAGAAAGATAGGATGATCAGAAGGGAAAGTTCAAACCTTCAAAGCTAAATTGGTGGCGAAAGGGTACACCCAAATAAAAGGCGTAGACTATGAAAAAACATTTTAGCTGTTTCCCATGCTCAAGTCCATTCGAATTCTCTTAGCTATTGCAGCAAGTCTCGATTATGAGATTTGGCAAATGCATGTCAAAACTGCTTTTCTAAATTATAATTTGGAAGAGAATATCTATATGCAGCAACCAAAAAGGCTTATAGCAAAAGGCCAGAAACACATCGTATACAAGTTGCAAAAGTCTATCTATGGACTTAAGAAAACATCTAGGTCATGGAACATTAGGTTTGATCAAGCCATTAAATCTTATGGTTTTGAGAAAACCCTAATGAGCCATGTGTGTATAAAAGGATCCAAGGGAAAGCAATATCTTTTTTGGTGCTTTATGTAGATGATATACTTCTTATCAGAAATGATACAGAGGTATTGTTAGGCATTAAGACGTGGCTAAGCAAGCATTTTGATATTAAGGATCTGGGGGAGGCTAGTTATATTCTTGGTATTAAACTCTTATGAGACCGTAAGAATAAGACATTGGCATTGTCCCAAGCTACTTACATTGATGAGATCCTTGCCAAGTTCAGCATGGAGAATTCTAAAAGGGGAATTTTACCCTTCAGGCATGAGATTCATCTCTCTAAGGAGCATTCTCCTAAGACTTTTGAGCAGAGAGAATGTATGAGCAGGATACGTTATGCTTCGGCAGTAGGTAGTCTCATGTATGCTATGCTATGTATCATACCAGATATCTGCTAGTGGGAGTCTTGAAACCATTGGTTATCGATTAAGCATATACTCAAGTACCTTCAGAGAACGAGAGATTGTATGTTGATCTATTCTAGTGGGAGTGCTGAAACCATTGGTTACACAGACTCAGATTTCCAAGGAGATATTGACTCAAGAAAGTCGACCTCAGGCTATGTGTTCACTTTTAATAGCGGAGCTATTTGTTGAAGGAGTGTCAAACAATTGTGTGTGTCTGACTTTACCACAAAGGCCGAGTATGTAGTTGTGTCTGAAGCAGCAAAGGAAGCCGCATGGTTGAAGAAATTCCTTATAGATCTTCAGGTGATATCGGGTGCTAGTCGTCCCATCACACTTTACTGTGACAACAGTGAGGCAGTAGCATAATCCAAGGAACCACGGTGTCACAAAAAACAGAAACACATAGAGAGGAAGTATCACTTGATCCGAGACTTCATTGATAGAAGAGACACAGTGGTAATCAAGATAGCATCAGAAGAAAACCTTGCTGACCCTTTTACCAATAGTTTACCCGAACGTGTGTTCGAGAGGCATGTTACATCTATTAGTCTTAGGAGGATTCCGGACTTACCGTAGCTTTAGGAGATTGGATTTTACTTTGTTAATTTTATACTCTTTGAGCAAGATATTATGACATTGTAATTTTTCTAAAAGTTTTATTTGAGTTTCAATTGTGTTGTATATGATCATATGTATACGTTCATGGAGGACATGATCATAGGTTCTCATAATTGATGAATAGATTCAAAGCTGTTAAATAAAGTTGGGTGCTTTATTTAGGCAGCAATATTTTATGAAATGATTTTGTCTGAACCATTGTAGAATATTGGTGTAAATTAATACTCACATTGAAAGGATAAAGAAGTGATTTGATTAAGAATTTTTTTTGTCATAAAGTATCAAATCTCCAGTTAACATTCGTGGTGGTGTACATATGCTCAGGTGTAGTATATTGTAGGTGAGGTAGGCTCAGGTGTGCGAGTGTCAATATGCTCTCTAGAATAGATAATAGGGGGAAGTAGAATTGATCTTCAAGGAAGTTAACATTCGTGGTGGTGTACATTTTTTGGTAAGTGGTGTGTTACACTCTTGTATCCCTTTTGAGTGGGAGATTAATACCCTATAAAGATGCACTTGATATCAACGGATTCAAGTTTTACACAATGATCTCAACTATTGCTAGAGAGACATTATTTCCTCTAGTTGCACAAGTAACTCTTTAGTTTTGAAAATGGTGGAGCTAGTTTTCTTATGCGACACAACTCAATCTTGAGGACAAGGTTACATTTATAGGGTGGAGGAGTATAGCAGTACAAATGTCAAAGTTTACTTGCTTTAGTATTTTTCTTATTTTAATTTCCTTATTTCCCCTAATATTTCTATACCTTATGCTATTGTTTTTGATAATTACTTGTAGCAATTCTATTATATCTAATTAAGTAGGTTTTATATAATGGAGTAGCAGTAATAAATGGATGTCAGAAAATTACAGGACACTCTTCCTCCTTTATTATTCCTCTTCTCCCATTGTGCTCTTCTTCGTGTTCTCATAAGAGTTAAGATATATATACTGCTACAAATGGTTTGGTTGATCATTAAATATTACATTCATGCATAGGAGTCTTAGGCTATAAAATTTATAATTTTAACTGCTATTATATACTCCAATTTTTATAATCAAACCTAGACTACGAGTTTGTTTCACGCATTTTTTTAAGTTAAAAGTTATTTTAAGTTAAAATTAAAAAAAAAACTTAAAAAATAAAGTTAAAAGTTATTTGATGATTATATAAAGTTGTTCTGAAGATTTTAAAGAAGAAAAAATGAGATAATTTATTATTAGAGTAAAGAGTACTAGAATTGGTAAATATAATTTTAGAATAAAAGTAAAACTGAAAAATAAATATAAGAACTCTAAAAGTTAATATATAATCTCGGGAGCTTTTTAACTTTTTTTTTTTCTCCATTATAACAAAAAAAATTTATAATAAGAACTTTGTAAAAATATGTTGGACTAAACCTCTGTTTATAAGGAGAATAGAAACCTAAAATAAGACTTCACAAACAAGAATCAAACTATGCAGAACAAATAAAGAACTTACGTCCTGTAAAATGGGGTATGTTGGATAGCCACGAATAGTTGGGATGTCATAACTCGTAAGTAACAAAATATATATATATATATATATATATATATATATATATATATATATATATATATATATATATATATATATATATATATATATATATATATATATATATATATATATATATATTGCTAACTAGATATATATATATATATTGCTAACGAGTAACAAAATATTTAACTCAACCCGAAGGGAGTAGCTAGGAAATATCATTTCATTTGTTAGGACACGATTAAAAGTTTAAATCCTATATCAATTTCTTAGTGTTAAGCTACAATAATTTTTATTGTGAATTCCATAATCCTAGGCATAAGACTTACCTTTGACTGGATTAAAAAGTGTTAAAGAAAAAATATCCATCGCACTTTCATAATGTTTTATTCATTAAAAAAATATTAATAAAATAAATGTTAAAACACTGTACAATAAAATCCTTATAAATTTATTAAATTTTTAAAATAAATCCATGTAATTTAAAAATTCTTAATTTGATCCCTGAATTTCTAAACTTTTCCAGGTAAATTATTACTGGCTATAAGCTTTGAAACTCCGTTAACCTTCACGGTTATATAAACTTCTGCCACCTCATGCAATTGCAGCTGGACAAATTCATTTTAACGAGAACGTGACACGTACTTTATTTTATATCAAATTATTCTTTTTCTTAAGTTTAAAATAAATTATTTATTATTGATTTGACAAAAATAAAATAAGTGTCACAATATAAATGAAAGATACACCAAATTAAAGATGCATCCGCAACACCAAAGAAATTTTCCATTTTAGCAGCACCAGAATTTTTTAGTGACAACAACAACTTTCTTTTTTTCTTTTTGTCTTTTTTTTTCCCCATTGCATTAAGCCATTAACTGATTAATAAAAGAAGTAATAATAAACAAACATAAACGAAGGGTAGGTGAGGTCGAAACTTCACTTCACCCTTTTCCCTCCACGCCTTTATATAGCGATGCATGAGCTAGCATTCAGATTCCCCCCACCCCTACACTTTCTCTGAATTCTCTCTCTTCCTCATACTCTCTTCACTCTTCGTTTTCTCTTAAAAGAGAGTGATCATAATATATAGTAGAAACCTCTGCTACCATTTTGTTGTATCTATTCAAGTTCACAACTCACAAAAAACCCAAACAAAAATATTTTAGTTGAAAAATAAACCTAGGGAAATCCAATTATGTCTCCATTCTCACATCACCAACATTCTTCTAAACGATTCTTCATTTTCCTACTTATCCTCGCTTTCAAAGGTATAAAAATAAACTTTTGGGTTCTTTAATGATTTTTTTTAGATTCCAAGTGTCCCAAATCCTACCCGATTAATCCGATTTCAGATTTTTGTCTTTTCACGCTTTTATGATATAACTGGATCGCCACTAGAGTAACAACTCTTGAATTTTAATTATTCTTTTCATATGTCACTTTCAAACAAACGAAGCATTCTTAAACTAAACCATGTTATTCTGTTTACAGGGGTTGAAGTTAAAGGGACAACATTCACATTCGTGAACAAGTGCGACCAAACAGTGTGGCCAGGGATTCTAGGAAAACCCGACCTCGGAACCACAGGGTTTGAACTCAAAAGAGGAACCACACGCGCCTTCCAAGCACCAACGGGTTGGTCGGGGCGGTTCTGGGCCAGAACCGCCTGCAAATTCGATAACTCCGGCCACGGAACCTGCGCCACCGGCGACTGCGGATCAGGTGAAATCAATTGCAACGGCAACGGGGCAGCGCCGCCGGCTACCCTCGCCGAGTTCACGCTCGGGTCTGGTTCACAAGACTACTACGATGTGAGCCTCGTTGATGGCTATAACCTTCCAATGGTGGTGGAAGCTACTGGCGGTTCCGGTTCTTGCGCCACCACCGGTTGTAGCGCGGATCTTAATAGGCGCTGCCCGTCGGAATTGAGTGTCGAAGGTGGCGACGCGTGTCAGAGTGCATGTCGCGCGTTTGAGAAACCTGAGTATTGTTGCAGTGGTGCATTTGATTCACCTTCAACATGCAAACCTTCTATGTACTCTCAGATTTTCAAGTCTGCGTGTCCAAAATCTTATAGCTATGCATTTGATGATGCTTCTAGCACTTTTACGTGTACTGGTTCGGATTATACAGTCACATTTTGTCCTTCTTCTCCAAGGTAAAAATATTTCAATTCATCACTGTTTTGGTTTTTTCTTTTTCTTTTTCCTTTACTTACCCTAAAAAGTCAGAAAATGTTGATGATAATCATAAAGAATAAAGAAGCAAAAAAGAAATTCTTGATAATATTGATTTAGAATTTGTTAAAAGTCGATGATGCACGATTGTTGGACGGGTGATCATAACTCCTTTTATATCATAAAGTCAATAGTAGTGCTAAGAAAAAAAAAATTCAACCACGCTATTTTTACGTGTGAATTTGTATTCTTTTTCTATTACACGAACATTTTACAACAAAAAGGAAAGAGAAAAAAAAAATTATAAGTTTCTCACTTTATTTTTCAGACGGGCAAGTTTATTCTTATATTGTACAAGAATAATATGGATTCATTATATTTAATAATTCACATAACTAAAAAAATAAAAACGTTAGATATGAGTGAAATTGATTTTTTTTTTTTAATAAAAAGGTTTATATGGAAAATTAAGCAAGAATGTTATTATCGGAATTTTATTTTGACAACTTCTGAATTTCAAAACTTTTTTTTTTCCTTTTTTTGTAGAGGTGTAGCATTACTCTCTTGTTTTTCTTTTACCCATTTATGAGTGAGATTTGGTGAGTATTCACATAATGGAAGTTGTTGGTTTTATGCAGTTTGAAGTCTTTAATGGATTCTGGGCCAGGACAATCGGTTGAGCAGGCTGCAGTTGCTACTACTTCGTGGATAGCCAATTTGGCTACAGGTGCCTCCACCAGAAGCCAACCCTTTGCAGCTTCCAAGTCTGCATTTTTTGTGGCTGTCACTTTCATTCTTTCCTATTTAGTCTATTAGTCTCTCTGTGTCCCTTTCAGAATGACATCTCATTTGCTTTTCTCGTATATATATCCTTATCTTCCTCTTTTCAGAGACATAGAATTAGGATCAGTAACATCAATTTGGTGTTAAAATATATTATGATTGTTGAATTCTATGTAAATTATTAGCAGTTTGATCATTTTGTTGCCCGTGTTTTTTGGCTTTGTTTTTGGTCTACTTTTATTTTCTTGGGTTTATGTGGTTTATTTTATAATTTCTGATAAGTGGACAAATTGGCATGTAAAGGACAAATTGGTCTTTAAATTAATGAGTACTCGGATGAGTGGGTGTTGAGGCCCATTACCATTTTCCTGACTCAGGCTTACTAGCTAATTGCAAGAAAGACAACCCCTTAAGGTAACCCCATAAACAAAAGAAGCTAGCAAATAAAGAAAAGGAAATGAAAAGACCATTTTAAAAACGATAAAGTAAAGGGAACACATTACTTGCTAAGATTTTCAACAGTGAAAAGATTTTTCTACAAATGGTACTAGTTTGTAGGCATCTATTCTGAGCCATACATGTTAAAGCACTTAATAATTGATCAATGGAAGATGGTGACTAGCTCTGAAGACTGTAAAATTCAATTATGAGTCACAACGGTTGAACAGATAGAAGATATTTATAAGTATTTGTGGGAAATCTAATTTAGCGGAAATCATGTTTCAAACTATGGTAAGAATGTTGGGTTGATTGATCTATCATCGTCTACAAAAAGTTAACACGGTTTAATTGGCTGGGAAGGATATGACAATTAAAGACAAAATGGTAGAATAATGTATTTTCAAAACCTTTTGTGAAAAGTCATCATGAACGAAGCCAACCTACACTATTTTCAGTGCAAGCAAAAGATAGATGACGAATAGGAAAAAGTGAGAAATTGAGGTGAAAGCTTCTAAGGACAATTTGAGGAAAGAAGAAATGTTTGTTTTTCTGGATTACATAACTTCTGTCATTTCATCAGTGGCGGAGTCACGTTAATACCAGCAGGTACTTTGGCACTAGCTAATTTAGCCACGTTTGAAGCGTAGCTAAATAAACGTAGCAAATCATGTTTCAAATTTCTTGAAAATCAGCCACATTTTGCATGTAACTATATAACCGTAGCTATTTTGGCACCAGCTAAAATTTTTGGCACTGGCTAAAATACTTTGCTGGCTCCGCCACTGCATTTCACACTCACAAAGAAATTGGACCCGCGCCTTTATTATTTTTTGTCCACTCTCCTCCATAATTTATCTCTTTCTCTCACTTAAAATAATACAATTTTACATCCTTTAAAATGATACATATTTTTTCCTTTGAGGGAAGTTGCTATTGGATTTTTATGAGTATAATATATATGGTGAATTATTAAATAATATTTATTGATCTTATGATAAATACGTAAATAACTTTATAAAAATATAGTTAATACTAATAAATAAATAATTAACTGTTACAGAATGGGGCATAATTTTTTTTTTTTTTTTTTTTTTTTATAACTCAGGGTATCCCTTAGCCGACTGCTGAAGACTAATCCTCTCGAGGCGTAGAGATCGCTGAAGTGGATTCTGCTTTTACCAACAAAATCTTTTCCATACTCACGGCGAGGAATCAAATCCATGTCAGTATGATCTCTTAACTTCTATATAAGATTAAGAAGTTTCACTTCCGATCTCAACCTTTCATTTTCGTTTATATGACGATTGTAGTTTATCTGAAATTAGTGATTAATTAAAAAATATAACTTAATAAATTATAATCGTCTAATGATCGAAAATCAATAGCTGAGATGGGGAGTGAGTATAACACCTCACATATTTGAAATGGATATTTATAATTAAATTGTGAGTTAGAGGGTATTTTACTGGAAACCCTGATTTTCAGGTCAAAATACACACGAATGTAAACAATAATTTGACAGATATGTAACCTTGATTTGCAAAATGATAAAATTAGACCTTATTTGATGAAAATAATACTGGAAATGGATCCAGAACTAAATTTGGAGTAGATAGGAAAGCTTCTAAATAATTGATGAAAAATGATTTTAGCGGATAAAATACTACAGAGTAAATTCCATCGGTAAACCAGAAACGAGATTATTGATCTAGGATTTGAATATATGTTGAAACAGCTACACAGAGCTAAGAAAAATGATCTAGGATTTTTGGAGAAACGTGCCAATGGTGCACCATTAGGGGTAAAATAGTAATTTCACCAAATTATCGGGAAACTCCAGATTCATTTATAAAAGGGAAATTAGAGAACTTTGGTGAATGTTAAAATTTTTATTTAATGGATGATTTGTGAATTAATTGATGATTAGTGAGTTAAATGAGTGAGCTTAAGTGGAGGTAACACTTGTGGAGCCCACCTTGTAACATCCTGAGCACTGACGAGGGCAGAGAGTGATCGCCGGTGCAAAGAGGCACGGACAAGGAGCGGCTCCTGACAGGCTTCCAGCGGGGGGTTTACATGCATGAATGAATCGAATCGACACCCGAAAGAGAGGGATTCCAAAGGTTATGCAGGTATAAGACTGCACAGTTTGTGATAGCTTATAAGAATTAATTGGTACTACTATGCTAAAAGGATACATATGCTTTTCGGTAGCCCGGAACCGAAGAACTCCATAGTTAAGCGTGCTTGACTTGGAGCAATTCTGGGATGGTGACCTCCTGTGAAGTTTTCTCAGGAAGTGTGCGAGTGAGGAAAAAGCACACTGAAAAGTCTTGTGTTAGTATGTGGAGATAGTCATTGATTCTTGAAGCGGTCGGGCGTTACAAGTGGTATCAGAGCAGGGCCTCTCATCCAGTACGGCGTGGTTCGAGGACGAACCAGGCGGAAGCTGGTGGGCATGTAACATCCCGAGCGCTGACCAGGGCGGGGAGTGTTAGCCGGTGCAAAGAGGCACGGACAAGGAGCGACTCTTGACAGGCTTCCAGCGGGGGGTTACATGCATGAATGAATCGAATCGACACCCAAAAGAAAGGGATTCCAAAGGCGCGGGTATAAGACTGCACAGTTTGGGATAACTTATAAGAATTAATTGGTACTACTTATGCTAACAAGATGCATCTGCTTTTCGGTAGCCCGGAACGGAAGAACTCCATAGTTAAGCGTGCTTGACTTGGAGCAATTCTGGTATGGGTGACCTCCTGGGAAGTTTTCCGAGGAAATGTGCGAGTGAGAAAAAAGCACACTGAAAAGTCTCGTGTTAGTATGTGAGGATAGTCATTGATTCTTGAAGCGGTCGGGCGTTACAAGTGGTATCAGAGCAGGGTCTCTCATCCAGTACGGTGTGGTTCGAGGACGAACCAGGCGGAAGCTGGTGGGCATGTAACATCCCGAGCGCTGACCAGGGCGGGGAGTGATCGCCGGTGCAAAGAGGCACGGATAAGGAGCGGCTCCTGACAAGCTTCTAGCGGGGGGTTACATGCATGAATGAATCGAATCGACACCCAAAAGAGAGGGATTCCAAAGGCTGTGCAGGTATAAGACTACACAGTTTGGGATAGCTTATAAGAATTAATTGGTACTACCTATGCTAACAAGATGCATCTGCTTTTCGGTAGCCCGAAACGGAAGAACTCCATAGTTAAGCGTGCTTGACTTGGAGCAATTCTGGGATGGGTGGCCTCCTAGGAAGTTTTCCCAAGAAGTGTGCGAGTGAGGAAAAAGCACACTGAAAAGTCTCGTGTTAGTTTGTGGGGATAGTCATTGATTCTTGAAGTGGTCGGGCGTTACTCACCTCACTTAAGTGATATATTAGAGCACATGTCCAATTGCATTCAACCATCTTCTTCCTCCCCAACAACGCTAAACCCGCAACCACCATAGTAGATAGAGATGAAATCTTCAAAACTTTATAACTTGAGTTCTAGGGTATGCAATTCAGTGGTTCCCAAGCCTAACTTGTGTGAAATCTTGAGAGGAAAATATTTCTACCCTTATTTTCATGTGGGGAGCATTGTATAAAGAGATAACTGTAAGAACCTGCACCATTAGTTAAGGCATTTAATTAATTAATTATGAGATAATTCCATAATTGACTTTAATAATTATGAGAAGGCTTAAATAATTATGGTAAGTGATTAATAATGTTGAAAGTCGCTTTTCTGACGAAAAGTGCAGATACCGATTCTGCCCCACAGTATAAATGTGTACCGATGAAGTATCCTGGAAAATTATGAAAAGTGTGTATATGTCACTAGAATAATATATAGGACTAGCATAACAAGTTTCAGGTCAAAATAATGAGAACTGGTGCCAAAACTGATACTGGTTATGTAAAAGCGCGTACGGGAAAAGTACTGCGAAAAATAAAATAAAAATATGAAAAATCCTAGAAAAAATGCTAGGTTCAGAATCCTAAGTTTGAGATTAAAATGCTAAGCGTAGCTATTAATACTAATACCGCGCGATTACACTTAAATGGGCTATAAATGCCCATTTGGCCCAAAACCCTAGGCCATACTTCATGCTCCTACATGAGTGGCTGGTTAGCAGCTGAGGTCCCTCTTCTCCTTCACCAAGCCATTGTCTTTTCTTCATTAAATCCCTTAAGACACCACTTTTATGAGAGATTATTCATCTCTAACCTTGTAAACACTGAGTTGTTGGTTTTGTGATGGTGTGTGATGCTTCATTTCTGAGTTGTAGCATCTGTTTGGTGGGGTAGTGTTGCTGACTTGGAGGTTGTGAGTGGGAAGGACTAGTTTCATCCACTATAGTTCTTCAAGGAACCATGTTGATGGAGAAAAGTCCAACCTTGTAGTACATTTTTGTGTCCTTGCAAGTCAGAACCTTGGAGCATTATTGGAAGCTCCAAGGAGGAGTCTTTTTCTGAGTTTGAGACGCTTGAGGTATACCATGATCACCTCTTTGTCATTTTCTTGATTTAAGCTTGTTTAATCCATTAAAAGGCGAAACTTGGATCATTTTCTTGTGTAACGGTAAGTCTCGACATATACGTCGAAGACATGATACCG